TTGGGGTTTGATTCTGCGTACAGAATAATTAGCTTTAGGTTTTATATTTTTGAAACTCTCATTCTAATGGGTGCCATGAAAACAGTTGGAAAACTAATCATGATGTCACTCATGGGAAACAATTCACCTTTTATCGCATTTGCTTTCGTATCAGTGACTAGCAAATAACATTTAATCAGTCCAACTTTAGGGAAATATGTAATTTAACTCTAAATACGCAAACAAGGATAATAATACATTGCCGGATTAGTTACAAAACAGTGGCCGTGTTATGTAAGACGGCGCGCATTAGCCTGCAAAGTCGGAAGTCACCTATATCGGGACGCGGCGTACATACTGATCGCAAGCAAAGATTATAAACAACATTGTTTGTACGCATGCGTGAGATTACTTGTCTTTGAAGTATATTTAATTTAGTTTAGCTCTTTTTTGTAGTTTTTTGAATAAAATTGTTTCCTTTATTTAAACGCGTTGTTGAGTTTTAATTAATTACAAGTATTCTGCCACACAGTGGGTACACAGAGGTGCACATTATGCCACTGTACAATGTAACACCCACTTTTCACTGTTTATGGAATAAGTCCCATGGAATAGGGAGTGAGCCTATTGCCATATACCGGGCACAATTCCAGACTTCATGCTACTAGTGAATTTTTTTTACAAAACCCATTAATACTTTGCCCGACCTGAGAATCGAACCCGAGACCCCTTGCCCGGCAGTCGCACTTGTGACCACTAGGCCGAGGCAGTTCTAGGCCACCATTATAATTCTGTAAAATTCAGCTTTCTTTTTTGGCTATACCCGTTTTTATAGGTCAACAACCACATGGTACCATGCACTACATTGGCTATATATGATAAAAAATAGATATATCATTGGAATTTTTTTTTTAAAGGAGATTGTCATTAATTTCTTCTCCCCCCTGGGTGAGGCGGGAGGGAGTGTCAGACTCTTATTGACTAAAAACCACCCCGTTCCTAATCCTGCACTTCGAGCCGGAGTCCTTGTAACCCGTTAGGTTCTGTTAGATTCTCTGCGGCTCCGTATATCATTGGAGGAATAGGAGAGACATTATTCTAATAACAAACACGAAACGCGTGTTTATAACAGTCCCCCCTCATTAGATTTTACATAAATAACATACATAACATCACGCCTTTTATCCCCGAAGGGGTAGGCAGAGGTGCACATTGTGCCATTGTATAATGTAACACCCACTTTTCACTATATATGTTATGAGTCCCATGTAATAGGGGGTGAGTCTATTGCCATATACCGGGCACATTTCCAGACTCCGTGCTACTACTGAGATTTTTTTTAAAACCCAGTAATACTTTGCCCGACCCGGGAATCGAACCCGAGACCCCTTGCCCGGCAGTCGCACTTGCGACCACTCGGCCAACGAGGCAGTCATTAGATTTTCATACTTAAATACAATGTATATGTATTATACATTTTCATCTTACAAGCCACTGAACAGTAACTAAGATACAAGCAGTACATAACACAGTGACGTAACATTTATTGACACATTAAGCGTCCATATAAGGTGACAGGAATCTATGATATCTTGCAGGAATCTATTCCGGTCCACTTCTGTTAGAGTATCACTTTCCCTTACTCTTTGCTTCCTGTACTAACTTACTAGCGATTGAGTGTGGCTTTGCTCGTGTTTCTATAGACTACCATCTTTATAATAAGCAGTTAATTTTAATGTAACACCCACTCTTTGTCACTTATGATTTGAATCTCATATAGGTAATAAATGGTGAAACTTTTATTTGCGAATCATAAATTCTTGAGGATTTAAAAATCAAAACCTAATGCTTACTTAGGTGTTTTGCTTGCGAACACTGGACCAATCAAAAATTCTATGCATTCGTTACCTAAAGTGTAATTAATAGGGTAGAAGACTTAATTTTTATTTTAATGACCGCCTGGACGTTGTTTAAAAATATTAGACACGTATTTTTTATTTTCTTACGGAAACGAATAGTTTCGAAGATATATTGATTTTAAATATCGTATGACTCTCATATCACTTTTGATTACGATTTATAAATCGTATCATATAAAGAGTATACTCTAAAATGACGTAGCTATCTCCCACTCCTAAAATTTGATTCGTTTTATTTAAGTATTGTTTTCTTATACGACAAAACAAAAAAAATACGTGTTTAATATTTTTTTATTACCTAACTGACGGACTAATTAGACTTTTAATTTTCATACCCTGTCATCATCCCTATTTAACACCATACTTACTTTCACTTCAAGGTCAAAAGAAAAAATATGTTTTTTAAATCTTGTAAAGTAATAACTGTGTGTAAAATACAATCAGACAAACAAACTGAGATACCTAAAAGTGGTAACTATAGTTAGTACACTGCTCTAAACTATACTTAGTTTATTAACTTACCTTAGCTCTGAAACAAGTTTGAAACCTGTAGAATGCCATTATTAATTTATGTATTCTTTCCGTACAAAATACTAATAACTAGAGGTAAGTTCTTTACAACTTACGTAGATGTCTGAAGGACAGTCATAATAAAGAGAAAATTGCCGCGACTATTCCTGTTACTTTTATCTTTTGGTGGTATTAGGATACTACATAGGGATATTAGTAAGGATTTCAGTTAAGGGATCTGAAAAGTGGTGCTTTATCTTGTTAATATTGGATCTTTGAATGAATCATAGGGCGCCCTAGACGGACATATAGTGACCAGATTGGCGACATATTAAAGAAGGGCCAAATTAAAAGTACCCTTAACCGACGAGCACGCATGAAATGATTGATGACTGTTAATGAAGCGAAAGAGGTATGTAAGAATCGTAGTAATTGGCGTTCCTTAGTCTCTGCCTACCCCCATGGGAGACAGGCGTGAAGTTATGTATGTATGTATGAATGAATCATAATATCCAATATAAGGAAAGGAAAAAAAATAAAATATATACAACTTAAGAGACACTAAACTATATTACCATCTATTGCTATCTCTCATTTTAGGTTTCTTTTTTTAGGTAGCCCTCAAATCACTGAGTTCAGAATATAAAAAATCAACTTCACACGAAACCATCTGAACAATTATAGTTATAACTTAGACTGCATTTGGCGAATAAATCTTGTTCTATATAGATTTGAATATTTAGCTTTGTAATCCTTTGTTTATCTTATCTGACAATAAATTAGAAACCTATTAGATTAAGACATAAATTATGCCCAATTAATGTGTGTTCAGCAACTCGTCGAGTTGTAAATTAAAGCTAAAGCAATAAAATATTTGATACATAATATTAATGACGATCAATTAATTGGGCAATTAAATGATATAAGTTTCTTAATGATACAACTTAGAATATTCTTCTTAATTAAGCTAATCGACTTATCCGTACGATGAGACCGAGAGTTCAAATCATTATAATTGAGGCTTGTTTTTTTTTAACTGTCAAACACCGCGAGGTCACCGGTGTCCACACACCTATTGTTTTTTAATTGTGTCTATAATAATAATATGTGTGTCCATTACATTTAGATTAAAGTTGTCTAAAGGGCCTCTGCGCAGTTGGCTTCGGCCCCTCGTACGCCTCCCAAATGACCGGAACCCTGTGGTCCCGTGAATGGTAAAGACATACATAATAATAATAAATTGTTTATTTCATAAAAAGGGACATATTTACATGTATAGTATCTTAACGATTTGATTAGAGCTCAGTTGCTTATTTTCCTGAATTAGGTTGAACCTGTATTTCAGACTAATGCTATAATCACTATAATGAAGGTTCTCAAAGGGTTAGGGATAAATCATATTATAATTCAGGCTTAAACATGCACATAAATGCAGTTACTTTTATAGCGTTATGGTTTTCTAGACTCAAGATATCTTTTTGCTGTCAAAACCACTGATAGTCTTATCAGCAGTCTTTATTCGATGGACGAAGTGGTAACTGATTGTGCTATATGACGTTCTTTTTTAAATATCTGTCTCTCCTTGTGATAAACGTCATTAAAGAATTTAAAATCACATATAATTAATCAATGAGCTCTTCTAGGTACGAAGATCTCTCAAAACTTAAGTATCATTTGACATTTTACAACATTACAATAATTATTGTTGATCAACTTCAGCTATTAAAAAGTTAACAGTCAGTCAGTCTTACTTAGGCAATATAACAATTTGTATGTTTATTTATCACCAGTTCCTTTCTCTAATCCAAGTCTTAATTATTCCATACATTTTCCACTTACAACCAAATGATCCATTGTTGCGCCACAAACATTATTGTTTACTTGTTGCTGGAACAAATCCCTATTGTTTCGAAGTTCTTGCCAAATTCGCTGAATCTAGAAAGATCAGAGTACATATCTTCACGGTGTGGACCGTGGAAAGTAATGCACTAGTTAGAAGAGTAATTGGTGATTGCTGTTTGATTGTTTGATTCTAATTTCATTTGGCTTTCATAATTGTATTGTAACATTAAATCACAATGTAGTAGTGTTTTTTGTGCCATGTTAGTTTTTAATATTAAGTAGATCTTTTTTTGTTGTTCGGTTACAGTTTGAGTATTCGAAAACTAAGTAAATAGTGAGTCTAAACCCAACTGTAAATTGTATTATTTATTGTCCTTAAGTTTACTTTCTTTTTCGATCTCTTTGACTGGATTTTGATGTTAGATTGTTGTCGCACAGTCGTACGACGTGGAACGAACAAAACTATGGGAATGAGCTTTACTTTTAATTTTTTGTTGACGTTCAAAAGTGCGTTTCTAGTTTAACCCTTAGACTGCCATGTCAGTCACCGGTGCCTGACGCTAGTGGAGGTTTGACTTTCATCGTTTTAAAGTTGGCAGTTAAAGTATTAATTGAGATAATGATTTTTGACTTTGACTTTTACTAACCCAGTAGGCTTTTTGTTAACGTAGACACATAAACCAAATGGTATTGGTAATGGTCATCTAAATAAACTGTATAATCATATCATTATTATCTTTTTTGCACCAGGTTTCCACGAAGCCATCGGCGAAACAATAGCTCTCTCAGTCTCCTCTCCTCGCCACCTTCAGACCTTGGGCCTGGTCCAACGTTCAGTGGACGACACGGCACACGACATCAACTACCTCTTCACTCAAGCTATGGACAAACTGGCCTTCTTGCCTTTCGCCCTGGTGATGGACAAATGGAGGTGGGATGTCTTCACCGGAGATGTCAGGAAGGAGCAGTACAATTGCCATTGGTGGAGACTAAGGTTGGTTGCTTGCTTGGTTATAAAGTAGAAGTTGCAATAATTGTAAATTTGGTTTTTGAAAAAATGGTTTGGACTAGGCAATATTTATTATAATTTATTAGGATGTTTTATTATGTGGAATGTGCGTGTTTAGAACTGTTTAAAGGATTTAAGTTATCACAAGTTTTACTTTTAGTTTAAACACTAACTAATGATAATTTAAGATGATTAATTCAAGAAAATAAATGTTTTACAAACTTGATATACATAATCTACACAATAGTGCTTTAATGTAGTGCAGTCTATTTTTGGAAGTCACCGAAACAAGAAAGTACAATCAAGGATAGCAACTTTTGAAAACAAATTAATGTTTACATTTCGATACTTTTTAAACTAATTAGTGGGGCTTACAAAAGAACTGTCGCCAATCTCGTATGTTTACAAACATATTGCAACACAATGCGACGCCAGTCTTATACTATGTAGTAATTGTAAAACCTGAATTGATTGTTAATTTATTAATTACTAACTGCCAGCTCTGCTCGGCACTTGTCGACTGTATCGTGCGTGCTCCTAGATAAATGAGCTATCCACCACAAATATATTTTTTCAATTCGGACCAGTCGTTTCTGAGATTAGCGCGTTTAAACGAACAAACTCTCCAGCTTTATACAATAAGTATAAGATTTTTACTCTGAAATGAAAATCGTTTTTTTACAAAGTTCTATGAATCTATTCCCTTTGACTTATTTTAAACGTGAACTTGCACATCTCTTACCAAAAATTGGATAAGCTTCTCATAACATATATCATAAATTATCCACACAAAACGCCTACAAAATCAATCACCGATTATATCACATAACATACAATATACACAGCAGAACATATTATTTATAATGAGGCATATTACAGTAAGCAAGTAATTGCTCATCGCCTCTGTTAAGCAACGGTCACCCTCAGCTGACTCTTACAGCATGCTTGAGAACACAGCGGTATCTTGATTGTGTTCATAGAATATTATGTAGTAGCTGCAATAGGTGCTTGTAGTATGAGATGTTCTGTTGTGAGGTACGATTGAATGGTACTAGTAAAAATAAAGGAATTGTGAACAAATTAATGTTTCAGACGATAGATGTTGGACACTGAATTGATTAGTTATTTTAGCATATGTATCAGAGAGATTGTAAACCATACTTACTTCGTACCAAATTATGGTTTAATTGAAATAAATGCTTTTGAGTTTGATACTAATGTTGATAGGATCGGGGATGGAAATCAAAATTTTACAGTTGATAATATATTCAAAATCTCTTGAATGATATAAAATTGTAATTAGGTGCAAATTAATTAATGTTGTAGTGTACCTATGTAACGTAATTCTTTCCCAAAGTCTGTATTTCCTGAAACCTGGGTGTCTTCAAGGCCCGAGTGAATAGGTTGCTTATGGGACGACGTGCTCCATCGTAGACCGCATCATCGCTTAGGTACCACCAGGCAACATAGTGGTGAAACGTCGCCCCATCAAATATAAATGAAAAAAAAATGTATATAGCGCATTTTGATGTGATTAACTAAAATTCATCCACATGTTATATTATTATGTAAACAAAGATGAAAAATTTCGTGTCTTGTTACTTTATTTGTCTGTACCTTAATTTTTTGAGTCTTTAGACATTTTTTTTTTCTACAAATGAGTTCGTGTGTGTTAAGACGCATATTTTGCGGTTTAATTATGTCGGAAAATAGTCAAAAGTGCATGTACAGAAAATGCTTGTAAGACGTAATTTGAGGTTGTTTATAGGTAGGTGTACTCATAGATATAATATTTTTTAATTTTTCTGTGGGTGTGCTCCATCGTGGATCACAGCATCGCTTACCACCTACGCGATATGGTAGCCAAACGACATCCTATTTACAATGAAAATTAAAAAATAATCAAAGCAAAAACTAGTAACTCGTGTATGCATGTTTTGTAAATATGTATAGGTATCTTCTCGAATTTAAGAAACCGTTAAGTAATTGTAGCGCAAAATACATTTGTCATCACCTCATCATACTCTTTCTGTCAGTTTTATAAAAATACCTGGATGACCAAGCCTTGTTAGGCATTCGTTTTTAGTTTTTAGAAAAAGAAGAAAAAAGATAGAATAAATATAGAACAAAATACAAATATGAAATAGAAAAAAACATAAAATATAAAACAAAAATAATAATACATCATGACGATATTTAGCATCTTATTCTAATAAGGATTTTTATTCAATGAAAACACGGACAAAACGACATTTTCTGTAAATGAAAACTAACCAGATCGATTTCGATAAATAAAAAAATTCAAGAAAATCGATGAAACCGTTTCCGAAATCGTTGATATACAAAAATTGCTCGCTTAAAGGTATTAGATATAGCATATCCACTTATGTAAAGGCTCATCGTATACTATTGACCTGCAGATTGATTGATGACGAACTGAAAACATAATGCTATAAAATCAACTATACAACTCAACATTTATCAAAAAAACGTGTTTACAATTACTTCACATGAAACACAAACAATAACATCATTAACTTCTTTCACACATTCCCAATTATGCGTTAATTTTTTTTAACCGTCTAACTAACTGGCTCGCTCATTATCAGTTAGATAATTCAGTTTACTCACGCAACTTCATGACATAATATTAACGGTCCGATGATCGGTTTAAATAACTAGCTACTAGAATTTTGTAGGTCAAAATAGTAAATTTTATAATCATAGTTTGCATTGGAACCGATGGAAATCGATCAATCGTGAGACGATTAATTTTTGTGCCTACACAACATTGCATACAAATAATTATATATTTGGTTAAAGTTATCTATATGATTATATAGTTATGCCAGTTATTTCTTAATAAAGATAGGCAGAGGTTTTGTTATCTAACAGCTCAATCGTTGTACGAAATGGGAGAGTCTGTTACCAAAAAAACTAGTCATAATTCATAGTATTGCCGAAAAATTTGAAGATCATGTCCGTGATCAGCTTTTAAGCTTTTCAGCTTTTAAGCTTGTATTTTATCTTACAAAGTGATTGTTCCGTTCAAAATATAGTAAATAAAATCTATTTACTCTAATAGAGCGATCACGATAGCGGATTAGGTTTTCTTGCAATTCTTTTTTCGTAACGAAATATTATTTTTATAATATATTAAAAACAAAACAAAACATTCCAAAGATTAAAAATCAATTTCTTAAATTAAGAAAACACATTAATTACAAACCAATAATAAAAAAAACTGTAACACAACACAGTGACCTGCTGAAACAATTGAATTACGCAAGCACTAATGAGTTCGAAATTAAAAAGAGATAATAAAATAAAAACCACCATAAATATAGCAACAGCAACTGGTTGCAATCGCAACTGAACTGGTACGCGTTGTGATGGGATTGCGGTCGTCTGACGGCCTTGACTTGGTAACGGGTTCATAATCTGCGATGAAAGCAAAAGTTGTTTCGGTGTAAGGTGTGAGCGACAGCGGGGAATTATCTTGTATTGGAAAATATTGCCTAAAAACCTGATAGGTATCTTTTGTGTCCTGGCCATTCCCTCTGAGAAAAAATATGCAATAAAATGAATACAATTTTATTTTGTTCGTCTAGCTTTGTCTTATCTTTAACTTTGTTTGTCTAGAAAACGATTTGTTACGGCAAGTTATCTTAAAATTGGGGTGTAATTAAAGTAAAATTCTATCCAATATTCCAATCAATATGAAAATAAATTAATTTTATTCTTCTTTAGGAATATGATATTTTTAATTTAATAGGGTGATAGATTAAGAAATATGCACTGAGAAGATGATGACTGGCTAACCATATAAAATCAAAATGATTGTCATTATCAAACTTTAAATAAAAAAAAATTATCTGAGATGAGTCGCTACCGCTCATCACAAGAAACACTTCCTTAAACGTACTATGTTACAGAGTGCACTTTTGAATGATGCAAGTTCAAAATCTTTTGCTGTTAACCAACTGCCCTAATTGTATCTATAACATACATAACCTATGACGATATACATACTTATGTTTATTTGTTTAAATATATTTAGAGGTATCTACCTCTGATTCATATTCATATCATTCAATTCTTAGCTAATCTTAGCTAAGAATTGAATTGGCTTTTGTCTATTACCCAATTGTTTGTTCTAAGTGAACTTATCCAATGTAACTTTGTTCATAGAGGTCATGATGTTAGATAATCTTATTAGGCACTCTAACTTCCTTGAGTAAGATAGATACAAATTGTAATTTGACTTTAGTTGTAAGATAAATGATGCCTCTCAGTTAAAGACAACGTAAGAACAGACTATTCCGTAAACTGCAATCTTGATTTCGATTTCTAGATTGAACAAAACTTTGTCTATGAAAAACAGTTCCTACCTGGACATTTGTGGGTTAAAAATACAAAATGAATTAAATTATAAAACACTAAGACATTATTTTCTTTTCTTAGTTTCGCTAACCGTACTCTTTGTTCTACAGGGAGCAGTACCAAGGCATCAAGCCTCCAGTACTCCGTTCTGAGCTGGACTTCGACCCCGGTTCCAAGTACCACATTCCTGCAAACATCCCGTACATAAGGTAAGTCTACTCTACATGGTATTACAATTATAAGTTGATGTGATCGGTCTTTGAAGTTATTGTCAACACTTTTGTGACTTTTAAAAATATCCCAGTCTCTTAGGTATAGGCCGTATTGGCCCTATTTGTTAATATTTGGTACAAGTTTACGTAAAAACCAACAGAATTTCGTTAACGAATATGACATTTAATAAGAGACAAAAACTTTTTAATTAGTTAGGAAATGGAGTTCAAGTCTCAGTTCGATTACTTCACCGGTAAGTAATATTCGATAGTAATAAAATAATTATTATGTTAAGATATATATCACGTTTCATTGTTCCGGTTGGGTAACACTGCAGTTACTGCCATTTATTTTACTGCACCTATTTGTCAATGCGCACTTTCTTTTGTTTCAATTGTCATAATTATCTTATAACTTACGTTACGTCTGGGATTTTCACGAAATGGTTTTAAATGTTGATACGGAGTATGTATAAAACTGTTACCACTAGTTCGCTTACTTCTTGGAAAATTTTAAATTCAAAGAAAATCTTTTTTTTTAAATGGAAGATCTTGTGTTCGGATGTCATTAATGCTACCGCTACTTAATCAGAATTATAAAGCATGCTTTTTTCAAATCTAGTCTTTTTGTAAATAAACTTCATCAAGAGTTTTAAAACCTTTTTTGAATAATAAAGTAAAGTACATTAACTTAACTAAAAATCGCAGGGAGTAAAGTCTATACACTGTCGTTAGACATATTAATTTAGTTTGTCTCACGATAGTTATTATAAAAATGCATTAACTTCACTTGAATCCTTTACTAAATATTCACGCCACGATTCCCAAGCCATTTACTTGACCAACTAAAATCTGTATTGCTAAACATTACATCATCCCTTGTAGGGATAAAACGGACACTCGAGGTCCATTGTGAATGTATAGACACTCGCAAATCTAACTACGCCAATCTATTTCATAGATATTCAACTTTATTTTAAACGCTTTTAAGGTTTAAAATGTGTGTGTGTTTAAGTAGAGTCGTGACAAGCTGTCGGTAATTCATGTCCGATTATATCGAGCAACTACCGGCGCTCACACGGTGTTGCGTGTGATACTGATTTAATTAACTTATTGGTATATACCTAAGTTACTGAATAAACGATTGTATGGATTGTCTGGAATTGTTTAAAACAGGTCTTTTTGTTTATGTCTATAGATTTGTGGCGAGTAATAAGAGTAGTGATTTGTGCACAAATATAATATGTTGAAAGAATATTCTCCATAAATTTTTGCTTATGAGAGCGTCGTCACGAGGCACAAGATTTTTAAACTATTTTTGCTTATATAACCTAGATCGTGTACAAGCATATTTTGGCACACACATGAATAAGATAACATAACTGTAGCCAATAGGATAAGCAACTATAACATAACAATGATCTGAATTTCGATCGAACTAACTTACAGTTAAATTTAAATTATTTAAGACACTTGAATACCGACATTATTTATGTATTTAAGTGCATTAAAAGAACATTCTAGAACTTAATAGAAAGTGACAAAGCGAAATAGATTTTCCTACAAGCTCATTAGTTACTGGGGATGAATAGACTTGGCACCGTGTTACTACTTATATAACCGTTGTGTAAGTGACGCGGTTGTATGATGACTACGCACTAATATGCAGGAAGAGTGCACTCGTGCGGTTTTCGGAACATGTAATTCTTGATATTTATGCTTTAATGCGTATAAAATACTATTTGGTCATTTGAAGGAAGATGACGGTGTCTGTTTAAATGCTAGGAACTGTTTTATATACGTTATAAACTTCTTATTGAATCACTACCTATCTGTTAAAAAATAACCGTACCAAATTCGTTGCGTAGTTTTAAAGATCATAATTCATAAATAGGGACAGGCAGCTGAAAGTGTCTTTATTTTATGTAGTAACAGTATTTTGTACGAGATATGTGTGTGAATCTCGAAAACCGACGTACGAATTTTGATAAGGTTGAATGAAAGAACCAATGAATAGATAAATTGACCGCATTAAAGTTAGTAGCTATATAAGATTTATTTTGATGACAATTTTATCATACCATCGGAAAAGTAGAAAATTACAAAAAAGTAATAAGTATTGAATGTTTGCTCTTGGCGTTAATCAATAGACTATATAAGATTTCTTTGGTTAAATCTACACGTGTCAACTGTCAGGGTTTAAATTACAAAACGGACGTCGTAACATTATTTCCCCCAAAAAATAACTGCGCATTTTGATTGAAACATCCAAATATAATTTATGTGACATTAATTATAATTAGTTTTAACGAAATATTATAACTAAATGCCCTTCACGATGATTAATTAATGATGATTCTTAGGATTGCGTTGTAGTTCTTTTAAGCTTGCCATCTTGTGACTTTTGCAAGAGTGTATCATGACCATTAGATTAAAATAGAAAACATTGACATCATACTGTCATTTACAAATGTTTGAAGCACCAAAATGACAGTGGTGTCTTATGTGTGCGTGTACTCGCAATATTGTAATGTATGAAGTGTCTTTACGCGCCATGTTACGCGACAGATGTCCTTCGTGTCACTGTGTGTGTATTCTGCGTGTGAATCTATTACTATAGATAGACCTGACTACTGCCAGGTGCCACGCTCGTTGTTTCAAGAGACTATATCCGCCATTTTTCAATGACCTAGGACAACACTAGAAAATTGTTACATAATTTGTGTTGTTGCACTTTTTCAGCACGTACACTTTATGTATTTTTGTAATTGATTACAAAATTGTTTATAACATGTTTATTTTACCATTGATCTATTTCGATGAATTTCAATTATATCATCGGAAATATTTTAAAATAAATGAAACAGAACTGACTCTTTTCCATACACTGATTCTTTAAACGTAAACGATGTTAGTCTAGTAAGGCATAATACATAGTTTCCTAGTCCAGTGCTTGATTATACGCGTATACTCACGTACCATGATTAGCAATTTTCTTCCATTACCAACTGGACTTCCTATTTTTTAGCCTTTTATGGAGTTGAAAGATCAAAACCGATGTAACATTATGCTAATATATGTACACCATTATGTAAGTATCATTTATATTTAATATCATCATCAATATTAATATTGAGGTGAGGTATTGAGATTAGAAATATTTAATTATATTATAATATTGGTTTTCTAAAACAAAATATTCGTCTGGGCCAGAAATATGGCATTTATCAATTGCTTACTTGTAAAGTACGTAAAAGTCGATGTTTTAAAAGAGTGCTGAAACTACAAAAGTAAGACTTCAAATTTTAAAATACACTTGAATATCATGACTGTTTTACATGTGATAATTTTAGTTATATTATCTTCCATCTTACCTTCTTTTGAGAAGAGCTTGAAAGCATCTACATCACACTATAATATTATAATGAATGTTAAAGTTTCTTTGTTTGAATGTTATTCCGTTAATCACGCTAAAACTACTGATCGGATTTTAATAAAATTTGGTATACAGGCAGGGTATGGGCTGACTTAAACCTATCGCCTAAGTGTTTTATTCCTGTTGTATCATATTCTACGCAGACGAAGTTGCAGGCAATAGCTAGAAACACATAAATATCATGAAAAGACTACCGGCAAGTTTTAAAATGCATGTATATTTAGGAACACTTACTAGTCGCCAGATACGTAATGTAAGTAGGATGAGACCAGTCTATTGTTAAAGCTATAATGCTAGATTCTGTTTTATAACTCAGAAAAATACTATATTTCAGTAAATCTTAATAGATTTTCTCATAAGAAACTTAATCGTTCTTCGTCTACAATATCTTACGAAATATAATATAAAATTTTTAGTCTCAACGTTTCAAGGTGTATTGTCATTTTGCACGATATGTTTCCACAGTGAATTTATTCTCAAATATCTGGGTTAGCTGGTGAAAGTGAATTCTGTCTGTCCAATTTTATATGTGAATATTTTAGGATTATTTTGCTTTAGTATCGGATTTCTTTTGCTTATATTATGTCATTGATTTTCATCAAGGCTTGTTATGCGTGATTTCCTTTTAAATTTCAATTTATCATTGCTAAAAATATCAGATACATGAATTATATAGATTGTTTGTTGTGTGGTCTACGTTAGCTAGTGCATTAATTGAAAACTTATAGTAATGCTTACCTCTCGGAAAGCTAATAATATTATGCGATGTGGTTACCACTAGTTACACCCGGCAAGCAAAGTCATCGTCTTTATGCGTCTCCTTTCATTAAAGAGACAATTATGAAAGTTTATAGTTTATAGATAGTATTGAATACGTTTTCCTGGTCATACGTGAGGTAAGAAAACAATATAACTAAAACATAGTAACATTTATATCACTTTTTTAATACTTTCGTTACTATTTACATCGTCACAGGTACATAGCAGTCACAAACATTATCAAAAACAAACAATTACTAAACAAGATAACACTTTAAAGCTAAAGAAAAAATAAAGAGATCAGTTCTTTTAATGGTGGTGGTGGTGCTCGTCCTGACCGCCCTCGTAGCCTCCGTCTAGGCCTCCTTCGTGGCCACCCTCGAATCCGCCGCCGAGACCTTCGCCCTCACCATGTGACTCTTGGTGGGACTCCTCATGGTGCTCATGATGGTGCTCATGGTGAATAATGGGCACATGGACCTTCACGGGGTAAGGCACGTGCTTCTCAACATGGTAAGGCACATGCTTCTCAATGTGTACAGGGATCGGCCTGTCGACGGGGATCTTTACTGGGTACGGCACCTTCTTTTCTACTGGGTAGGGAATAACTTTCTCTACTGGGTATGGGACAGGGTAAGGCACTTTGACGGGGACTGGTACTGGCTTGTCGACGTGCACTGGCACTGGGTTGTCAACTGGAACCTTAACTGGGTAAGGCACAGGCTTCTCGACAGGGTAGGGTACGGGCTTCTCAACCGGTACTGGTACAGGCTTCTCAACATGTACGGGTACGGGGTTGTCGACGT